ACTGAAAAATTAAGTCACAAAAGTGCCATTGCTAAAGATATTCAGTCTGGCAGCATGGAAAACAAATCACTGAGGTCCTCATCTTCCCCACTGGAGAGCAAGGTGATATCAATAAGGTCAGAAATATGGTCAGTGCTAATAAAATCCCAAAAGCACTCTGTCCAATTCAACTCCACGAGGTACTATTGAGGTCTCAACCTGTAAATTCATCTCAACGTTCCTCTTTGTAGAAAGAAAATACGAGACCAGACTGATTATTCATGATCACAGCATCTGAATCTGACCTACAGTCACTTGTTCACTGTAAACAAAGAAAAATCTTCTGGATAAGAATATGCAATGTCACTACAGCACTTGGTAGGTTGCTAATTCTTAACGCTCTGCTAGAGTTACTGGAGACCCGGGGCAGACTTTAACAGAGGATGACATTTTCAGATCACTCTCCTGAATTAAAAAAGGAGAGAGAATAAAAAAACACGCCCGAGACAATCTTTAACACAGTTTGCTCCCTACATAACATTATAAATAATGCAATCCCGAAATGCATTCTTAGGATTCATGAGAGGAGATTTAAACAAACCGTGAAAGGCATCAGCTCTCCATTTTGATTTTGGATTAACCTTGCACCCTCCCAAAACTGTGAAAAGTTGTACAAATCAGAAGGAAAAAAATGCTAATTCCCAGCCGGGGTTGGTGTGCTACTGAGCATGGATGCATGGAAATAAAAGAATTTGCAACCTTTTACAATTGATCCATGACATGCAGTTGAGAGTGTAAACCTGTTAATGTAGACTTCTAAAAAGGATAAAAGTCAAATGTCTCAAAAAATCCCCTAAAAGTAATGAAAATGATTTCTGTTAGCTATCTAAAAACGAATGCATAAATGGTTCTAAACGCTACTAAAAGCCTCCCTAATGGATTAACAACTGTAACAGTCGTGATTCACTGATTGAACAAGATAGCTTTCCAAGAGACTGTACTGCCAAGCGGTTGTAAATGTGGCCAAACCAATTGTTTGACATGAATTCAAATCCACATATTTGCATGCAACATGACGGCTGGTGTCAGGGAAGAGGTACTTCAGAAGTACTTCAGCTGACAGGGCTGCGAGGCCGTAGCAGACATAAAAGGTTGGGAACCCCAACCTTTACATTATCCGACACAAGCGGCAGTGGCGCCGTCCTCTCCAGAATGAATAAATGACATTAAAACAGGAAGACGCTGAATGATTTCATCTATATTCTGCTGAAAACAGCTTGAGGGAGAGAGTGTGGAAAATGCATAACATGAAACATGACCAGCAGGCATGTAGAAGAAGAAAGGCGCTGAAAATAGAACACGCTCATAGTCCTTTTAGAGTCTTTCACAATTATAGTTCATCACTGCGTGGACCCTTAAGAGTTCTGCCAAATCTGACTACAAAAGAGAAGCGCACGATGTGAGCTGCTAGGGCATATGCTACCATTATTAAACCCGCTACGTGGATTTATTTTTTAATATTACAGATGTTTTGCAGCTGTGCTCAAGATCAAAAGCTGTGCAATCCTGTCGTCAAATCAAATTGGATTTCGAGAAAGAAAACAAAATCTGATGGGCTTCTGATAGCCTTCGGGCTTGGAGGAAAATGCTCTTTCAGTGTAAGTACAGGAAGGTTATTGACCATAAAAATGCTCCGAGTGAATGCAGATTGATATAGCTGGAAGGTCCTGCAGAATGACAACATTAAAGCCTTTTTAAGATGAAATTCCTTTTCAAGATGTCACTCCAAGCCCTTTTGGGAGAGAAATATTGTGCGGCTCTTTTTCTTTACCAGCAAAATAAACCATTTAAAGCTCAGAGAGACATTCAGTTTCAACCTGGGCTGGGCCATGAATAAGAGTTACCGGGCTTTATGATCACAGATGAAAGGAACAGAATAAAAGAAAATATCACCGGCCTTGTAAGAATGAGGGAGAGCAAAGCTTTTGATGTTGAAAACCAAGATTATTTTTTTTATATTTAACTGATTCTTAGAATAGCCATCACAGCCAGAATGTGGACACGGGAGCAGTGATAATATGGCAGATTTTTGAGGCAATGCTTAAAAGAACCAGTCAGTAATAATGCAGAATATCCATAACTGGAAACTAAAATTGAGGCCAAAATATGCCAAACGTGTCATAAAATCTAAAAAATAAACTTTAGCGTAGTTTGTGTTGACACCTGTCAGTCAGCTCGGGAGTAAGAGCGGGTTCAGATGTCCTTTAGTTAGTGGGGATTTCATTTGGGTTTAAATATAGGCTGCTGCTGCTGCTGTCACGTCCACGGAAGCGCACAGGATTACCTTCCTCTCCTCCAAATATATTCCCTAAATTATCCCACACTGTGTTGCATTCTGGGGCCCTGAAAGGAGTCTCGGGGCTTAAGACGCACACCGTGTAATTGTAACCATAATTACTCGCGACATCCAGAGTTCAAATCCGGCTCAACACCTCAGCCTGCCATCACACGTCAGTCTCCACCCATACAAACTGATGAGGCAGAAAAGCCCTATAAATTTTTCTTTCTTTCTTTTTCCCTGCAGAAAGCGACACTCGAGAGGCAACTTGCAGGGGGAGAGGAGAGGGATCTGACAGGCTCTTTTCCTGTGAGCTCCACAAAACAAGCACTGAGCGCACACTTAATCACTGTCTTTGAAATTACTTCCTTTCCTTCGCAGTTAATGAATTGATAAAAATGTGGCCTGTGCACAGCCTAATTCATTCATTCAAAAGAGGAAGAGGCGAGAAAAGTCAAAAGAACAGTAGAGGTTGCCTAAACGCCCGACACCTTTTGATCTGGCAGCTCCACCGGTCAGAAGAGCGCGTACACTGTGCATACACAGGTTGTAGCCCTGAAGCTCATCCGGCAAACCTCATCCATCTCCCAGATGTCTGGTTTTAAAAATAAATCTGGCAGACTGCGACCAGGACGATGGCCAGTACTCAACTGCAGCAGCACAGCCAGTTTCCATCTGAACACGCACAAGAGTAACCCAAAGGCAATTTAAGAAGCCAGTTACTGTCAACACCGCGTTCCTGTTTGCTCTGAATGTGAGGGTAACCGGTTGAACACATTTCCTGCAGTAATCACTTAAGAAGAAGAAGAAGAAGCCTTGAACAACAATCTTACCTTTCTCTCCCTGGAGCGAGGATTTGGCTCAGCTTGGACTGACACGGCTCAGCTGCTGGCGAAGAAGACGCTGAAATAAATGAGCTACTCCGGTGGATGCGGCCGCGACATGAGCTGAAGAAAGTGAGGAGAGCAGCAGCGCAGAAGATTTGAAACGGCGGAGCAGCGCAGCGCTGTACCGGCGGCGGAGTCTGTGCCTCTGACGCTGACATCAGAGGGCTGCTTTAAGGTGGCTCCGCTCGTTCACATCAGCGACACGGCGCACACGGGGAGGCTTCCAGGCGCCCGGTTTAACTATCGCAGTAAAGATTATAAGCTGCGAATAAAATGAAACTGGAATAGAAAACTTGCGTTGTTGGAGCTGGGGTGGGGGGTCGGTGGGAGCTGAATCCGTCCAAAGAGAGCTCAGGAAGTCATTTAGCTCAAGGTTGAGAGAGCGCGCGCACAGCTCCGCAACTCTTCGTCATTTTACAGCAAAACCCAAAACTTCAGTCAAGCCTGGAAGATGTGAAACAAAATTCTGACTTTCGGTTTTTCCTTCCAACTCAGCTCTGGGTTGTTATGCGAGCCACAAAATATCAGCAAACGATGAGCATAAACCTTTCTGTTATAGGTCCATAAGTACGGAAAGGATGGCGCACTTCGAACATTAATGGAGAACTACTATGCTCAATCCGGCCTTATATTTTATTCTTGGAAACCAACAAATTAGCTTTGCATGATCAACAGTTCAAAATAATCTCTAGTCACCCTTTAAACCAACTTTTCTCTGATTGGCTGCCCCTGTCAAACAGAAGATTTGAACAGAAGGTGGGCGGGGCTTCTGTAGTTGGAGTTTGCTGTGTGCCTGAGAGGGTCACATTAAATATATCCCCACTTGGATGCCGGTTTAGCTCATTTGGTAGAGCAGGTGAGCCATATGGCAAAGGCTAATTCGGACACCTGGTTTGAATTTACCTCGCTCGATCCTTTGCCCAGATTTTCTGTTATTGCAATAAAGGCCAAGAATCTACTTTAAAAATAAAAGGATATTCCTCTCTAAACATTCTGTAGAACAAACCATAGATAAACCTAGCATTTAGGGATTACTTTCATATAAACTGACCTTATCATTCAAAACTTTGGCCATGTTTATATCAGTGTCTGGTCTGTAAAGGTACAAGAAAAAAATGAAAGGAAATATAAAGCATTACAGATTTAAAAAGCATTTAAAAAGCCAAAGATGACAGAGTACTGGAGAGCGCAACACACTGCACTATGCACAGGACTCCAAGGATGCAACCACTGGGTTTGAGTCAGTGAGTTTTCATTTCCTCAACAAATGGTGAAATTAATAATTTGTTGCAGAACCAAGATACACTGTGCTCAGTTCAAATTGTTTTCCCAAGGGCCCACTTGAGCTCAGGCAGTTCTCTGAATCTTTCAAATTATCCTGCAAACTGGGATCTATCCAACCTTCATTGGGTATAACAAAAAAAAACTGAAATAAAAAGAAAAAATATGTATGTGGGAGTTCTTTTCAATTGCTTTTAGAAAGTATTTTCTTCAATAAACTTCAAAATTATCCTGAAATGAAGAAATGTAGGCAATACACACACAC